CCAGCAGTTGGAGGTTGCTGTGAGCTGTAAGGCCATGGCACTCTACCCAGGGGGACAGCTTGAGGCTCCGTCTCAAGAAAAAAAAAAAAAAAAAAAGATTTCTTTCTTTTGTCAGCACAGTAGCAATATTAATACCAATTTTTAATTCTTCTAAAATATCTATTAATTCACCCCAGATATAGAACTCACTTCTTACACTAAACTCAGCTCTCCAAAAGGCAGAAGTTAAGGAACAGGAAAAAAATCTATCGTCTCCCTTTGGAAAGTTTATAAAATGTTGAATTAAAAGGCTGCAGGTGTGGTATTCAGAGTGCTGAGGATAGTACTTGAGATAATTCCATCTAGGGGAGGTTATTTGTTGGGACAGGACAGTGTTTAAACTTTGAAGTCAGTTTTAAACAAAGTGAAGCAGCTGGAACCTGGCATAAGAAGAAACAAATCCTTCACATTAACTATTGCTTTTTAGAGGAAAAAGCATTGGAGTTGTTTTTACAGGTGCTGGTACGTTTATTCTTCCTATAGGAGCTGCTTTATTTTTACCTTCAGTTATAAATTTTAAAATAAACATTTGTCAACTAATTTGAAAAACAGAAAAAGTAGTAGGCTATACATACATGTCTTAAACATCTTTTGAGATGAAACTATTATAACATTTTAAATAGCCTTTTTTAAGCATAAAAGTAAGGAAACAAATAGTGACTAATTTTGGAAAGCAGAGACAAATAAAATGTCCCATAGGAACCACCAGATGCCCAGGCACCATCTTCATCAAGACCTGTGGGATTTCTTCTCAAGCTCTGAAAGGAAGCTCTGGAGGGATGATGTTGAGAAACCTGCAGGATGGGGTTACGATGTGAGGAGAATTCAAGTCAGCAGGCTAGTTTAGCAGCTGCTTACACAAGGACTTGAAACAAGAGTGGATGAGGCTGGACAGGAAAAATGCTTCAAAAACTCAGCAAAACGCAGCTGAAACACAGTGACCCTCTCACAGACAGCTGGGAAGCAACTGCATTGCTGGGACTCTGGGCTGATTTTAAAGATAAGATGTGGTCAGTGTGAATCTGAGCAAGCTGTTAGTCGAGAGGCACTATAGCCTGTCCAGGCAGAAACAGGTCAGCTTGGTCCAGCAGTCACTTCAAAGCCCACACCGTGCTATAGCTTTATAGAAGGCAGAGATAAGACACAGTCAGTTTCCCAGTGGAGCATGTGTGTGTTTGCTTTTTTTTAATGAATTAATTTTTTTAAGTTTATGTATTTATTTAATTTAATTTTTTTTTTTTTTTTGAGACAGAGTTCCTCTGTCACCCTAGGCAGAGGGCCATGGTGTCATAGCTCACAGCAACCTGAAACTCCTGGGCTTAAGAAACCTTATGCTGGCTTGGCACCTGTAGCTCAGTGGTTAGCGGAGCCGGCCACATACCCCAGGGCTGTTGAACCTGGCCTCCACCTGCTAAACAACAACAGCTACGGCAGAAAAATAGCCGGGCGTTATGGCCGGCTACTCCCAGCTACTTGGGAGGCTGAGGCAAGAGAATCATTTAAGCCTAAGAGTTTGAGGTTGCTGTGAGCTGTGACACCAGGCACTCTACCAAGGGCAACATAGTGAGACTCTGTCTCAAAAAATAATATAATAATAATAAATCCTTATGCCTCAGCCTCTTGAGTAACTAGGACTACAGGCACCTACCACCATGCCTGGTTAATTTTTCTCTCTTTAGTAGAGATGGGGGCTTGCTCTTGCTCAGGCTGGTCTTGCACTCCTGAGCTCAAGGAGATCCTCACACCTCAGCCTCCCAGAGTGCTGAGATTACCAGGTGTGAGCCGCTGTGCTCCTGGCCTGGAGCACATGTTTGACAAGAACAACAGACTCCCAAGCTAATAATAATACTGGGTGATAACGTCACAGAGACTTATTACTGTGTACCTACTGACCTGGTCACTTGGAACACACAAAGTTTCTGTCCATGCTCTTAAGGAACACATTGTCCAATGGAAGTGACAGACGTGTAAATATTGACAGTGCAGGTGGTAAGTGCTGCATTCAAGTAGCCTTTGGTGTCCACAATTAACATGAGAGAAACTGCTGATATTTTAGTGTCAGTCTGTTGCTGGACAGACACTTGAATGTGGGGCTGGGGACCCTTTAAGCCCATGATTCTTAGATATTTAGGAACCACAGATCAGCTTAAGACACTGATAGCTGTGACCACTTACCTTCCTCCCAAATTCTACTCCTACAAAGATGATGTGCATGCAGTTTCAGGGTCCTCACAGCTGTCAGTGGATCCCAGGTTAAGATCCTCCATATAGCTGGAATAAGTGCTGCCGAAGCAAGCACGCATGCCTGGATTAAAGATTATTACACTTGTTTACCTTTAAATTTATTTTTAAATGCACAGTTTATAAGAAACCAATTTTATCTGCATGGAGAAGAACACCACTAGTTCATCCATATGGCTGGTGCCAGGTGTGGTTTCTTAGAACAAGCAGTTTGAGGCACTGTAGCTGCTCCGTAGAGTCACCACGGAAGCTTCCTTTACTTTTGTATGCTTAAGTTGTTTTAGGAGAGTACTTTGTTTGGATTCTTCTAAGTTTAAAAATGACAGAGAGATAATAATGGGTTACCAAATGTTTAAGAATTAGAATAGAATCTAAAACCTGTTGACAAAGTGGATTATCTAAACCCAAAAAGCTATGTTACACATATTTTAAAAATATATCTGTAGGCCAGGTACGGTGGCTCGTGCCTGTAATCTTAGCACTCTTGGGGGCAGAGGCAGGTGGATCACTTGAGCTTAGGAGTTCAAGACCAGCCTGAGCAAGAGTAAGACTCCCATCTCTACTAAAAATAGAAAAATAGGGCAGCGCCTGTGGCTCTGTGAGTAGGGCACCGGCCCCATATACTGAGGGTGGTGGGTTCAAATCCCGCCCCAGCCAAACTGCAACAAAAAAATAGCCAGGCATTGTGGTGGGCACCTGTAGTCCCAGCTACTTGGGAGGCTGAGGCAAGACAATCACCTAAGCCCAAGACCTCGAGGTTGCCGTGAACTGTGATGCCACAGTACTCTACCAGGGACAACAAAGTGAGACTCTACTCAAAAAAGTAAAAATAAAAAAAGACAAATTAATTAGTTAATAAAAATAGAAAAACTAGCCGGGGCATTGTGGTGGGTGCCTGTAGTTCCGGCTGCCTAGAAAGCTGAGGCAGGAAGATCGTTGAGCCCAGTGAGCTATGCTACTGCTGAGTCTAGCCAGGGCAGCAGAGGGAGACACATTTAAAGCAAATAAACAAATAAATATATATACATATATAATATGCAACCAGTATCTTAAATGGATGTTAAACATTTTCTATCATTGCCTACGGTACTTAGAATAAATTATAGTTTGCTTTTACTTGGTTTTATAAATTCAACATCAAAGAATATAAAACATAAAAATTCTTTGTGAATTTTAAGTATACTTAAAGAAAAAAATTACAATTTCAAATGTCTAAAAAGTGTGCTAAGTTAGATCTTAGGATGCTTCCCATGCACAGTCTGTGTGGCATCCCTGGCTCACACACACACCGGGCTAACTGGCACACTGCAGATCCATGGCATCAGGGAATAGCTGGTTTTTTAGACCTGAAAAACAGCTGTTGAAACAATTACATCATAGAGTAATGACTTGACTTTGAAAATTCTAAAAGTCAAACTTTAAAAGCTTAAAACTACATTTAATATAAGTAGAACACATATTTGCTTTCATGGTGATTTATTAAGATACTATGTCTTTTTCAAAAAAAAAAATTAAACTCTATGAAGACCATAACTGGACATGAATATTATCCCTTTTTCCTGTTCACAGCAATCTAAGTGATGCTTTTAAAAAATACATACCCAGTCTAAAGAGTTCTCTGTGTAAATGAACACTTTAAAAAGTCTTCCCAAAATGGTACATTAACCAACACCTTTAGA